TTTTTTCATTTATTATATATTTCTTTATTTTTTTATTTTTGTTAATTATTGTTTTACTGTTTAACTTTTTTTATTATATTTTTTTATTTTTTTTATTTTTGTTAATTATTGTTTTACTGTTTAACTTTTGTTATTTATTATATTTTTTTTATTTTTGTTAATTATTGTTTTACTGTTTAACTTTTTTATCATTTAATAAATGTTACTTTTTTCTTTCCTTTTTCTCAGTTACAGACATCACTTGTTTTCCGTGTGATGGGCGGCTGCTGCGGGAGGGAAGTTGCAGCAAAGCGCTGTGTAGTACAATGTGTGGAGGGGGATGAAAGCGGAGTTTCCCTTTAACCGTTTTTTCGGGGGGTAAGGGTGCTGATCCCCCCCCCTGCACACAGCCCCCCCGGGGAGGGGGATCATCTGGGGACCCCCATAATATCTGACCGAGTGATTTTGAGGAATGAGTCTCTTCTGCCTGACGCACTCACCCCCCCCCCCCCCCATCTCCCCACCGCATGCAGCCCCCCCGTCTCCCCGCCGCATGCAGCCCCCCCGTCTCCCCGCCGCATGCAGCCCCCCCCGTCTCCCGCTGCATGCAGCCCCCCCCCCCCTCCTTCCGCTGAGCCCCGTACTGGAGGACTGGAGGTCCCCCATCATCACCCAGGAGGGATCATCGGGGGGCGGAGCCTGAGTGTTGTCACCGCTCCCCTCACTGATCCGCCTCCATCTTTGGTGATCAGGCATTGGTTGCTATGGGAAATGGCAGACTTGGTGAAGCCTGATTGGTTGCTCTTCGTAGTGGATACGGAACTGACTGGTTATGCCAGATTCAGGTGGAGTGCCTCCATTTTTCTCAAATTTGGGTGGAGGGAGTTCTTCCAATTTCCTCATTTTTTGGGTGGATTTCCTCCATTTCCTCAGATTTGGATGGAGGTCCTCCAATTTCCTCATTTTTTGGGTGGAGTTCCTCCATTTCCCTCAAATTTGGGTGAAGTTCCTCCATTTTCCTCATTTTTGGGTGGAGTTCCTCCATTGTTCTCAAGTTTGGGTAGAGTTCCTCCATTTTCCTCATTTTTGGGTGGAGTTCCTCAATTCCCCTCAAATGTATGTGGAGTTCCTCCATTTCCCTCATTTTTTGGGTGGAGTTCCTCCATTTTCCTCAAATTTGGGTGGAGTTCCTCCATTTCCCTCATTTTTTAGGTGGAGTTCCTCTATTTTCTTCATTTTTTGGGTGGAGTTCCTCCATTTTCCTAATTTTTTGGGTAGAGTTCCTCCATTTTCCTCAAATTTGGGTGGAGTACCTCCATGTTCCTCAAATTTGGGTGGAGTTCCTCCATTTTCTTCATTTTTTGGGTGGAGTTCATCCATTTTCCTCATTTTTTGGGTGGAGTTCTTCCATTTTCCTCAAATTTGGGTGGAGTTCCTCCATTTTCCTCAAATTTGGGTGGAGTTCCTCCATTTTCCTCATTTTTTGGGTGGAGTTCCTCCATTTCCCTCATTTTTTGGGTGGATTTCCTCCATTTTCCTTGTTTTGAGTGGAGTTCCTCCATTTGTCCTCATTTGTCCTCAGATTTGGGTGGAGTTCCTCCATTTCCCTCATTTTTGGGTGGAGTTCCTCCATTTTTCCTCAGATTTGGGTGGAGTTCCTCCATTTTCCTCAAATTTGGGTGGTTCCTCAATTTCCCAAATTTTTGGGTGGAGTTCCTCCATTTGTCCTCATAGTTTGTGGAGTTCCTCCACTTCCCTCATTTTTGGGTGGAGTTCCTCCATTTTTACCTGTGTCCATGAGGAGATCAGCCATCTTTGTACTCTCTGCCCCTTCTCTATCTATGAGGAGATTCGCCATCTTTGTACTCTCCGCCCCTTCTCTAGCTATGAGGAGATCCGCCATCTTTGTACTCTCCGCCCCCTCTGTGTGAGGAGATCCGCCATCTTTGTACTCTCCGCCCCCTCTGTGTCTATGAGGAGATCCGCCATCTTTGCACTCTTCCGCCCCCTCTGTCTATGAGGAGATCCGCCATCTTTGTACTCTCCACCCCCTCTGTGTCTATAAGGAGATCCGCCATCTTTGTACTCTCCGCCTCCCTCCATTTCCCGCATTGCCCGATTTGAATGGGGCGGACATTTTGTTTCGCCCATTCTTCTCAATAAAGTTTTTTTTTTCCCTACCATTCAACGCGCCACCATTCTAGTGCCTTCTGCCGGGCGGGCGTGGCCAAAATCCTCCCTCTGATTGGGCCCTGGTGTTGTCAGTCACGGGAGGCAGGACAGTTCTTTGACCAGCGATTGGTTGTGAAGAGGGTAGGGGCGGGTGTATAGCACGGAAGGCCGCGATTGGGCAGGTTGCCGGCGTTTATAGCCAATAGACGGTTGCGACTGGCTTTGTTGGTCTACTGTCTGTGCCTCGAGGGTCGAGCGGGTGTTCATTGTCCGGGAGCGTGTGAGGAACTTCCATCGGAAACATGAGGTACGGGAGCCGGCGGGGAGATGGGACGGTGGCGGCCGGGCTCTCCATTCATCGTGACATCTGTCCTCCGATCCCGGGACCCCTCATAGCGGCGTGGTCGGCCATTTTCTATGGAAGTCTGAGCGCCCCCCGGTACAGGCCGCAACACCACCGGGGAAAAAAAATTGTCACCCCAATATCCGTGCGGGCGGCCCGCGAGACAATTACCCAGCCCCGGTTTTGTTTCTCATTCATGCGGTTCATTGAAAGCGGAGCGGGCGGGTGTGATCGTTTGTGGGGTTCTGTAAAAGAGGGATTTGTGGTCCCTGCCGGTGATAATGTCGGTGTGCGGGGAGGGGGTGATATGTGCCCGGTGGAGGCGGGAAGGAAGGAGAGCGTGGCTGAGTCCGGTGTCACATCCGCCGGCGTGTTAGACAAGCGGTGCGGGCGGGCCTACGAAACGGGAGAGGATAGATTTGCCGGCTCTGTATAAAAGCATTGCGTGTAATATTGGTTTTATGGCCTAAAATAATATAATGATGTTGTTTTTTCACATCCATCGGCTGGGCATATAAAAGCATTGCGGGCGGGCCTATAATGGAGTGTTGGTTTTATGTTTCACGTTTGGGCTCGGTATAAAAGCATTGCGGGCGGGCCTATAATTGTAATATTGGTTTTATGTTTCTCATCCATCGGCTCGGTATAAAAGCATTGCGGGCGGGCTTATAATTATAATATTGATTTTATGTTTCACATCCATGGGCTGGATATAAAAATTGCGGGCGGGCATTGCATGGGGAAGTCCTCCCAGGGGATGGAAACGCGACATTCAAACACATTTTAGTTGCGTCACGCGTTTTACGTTTTCTGACCGTTAAAATGAACGCCAAAGGTAGCCAAAGTCTGGTTTCGGGGCGCTTTTCCGTTAAAACACTTCCTTTCCTAACAAACCGGTTTGGTTTTTAACTCCTTGGCGTATGCTGATTTGGGGGGGGAGGGGCTGGGTTGCGGATTTCATTTACCGCCGCCTCGCGGAAAGGCTCCAATCGCTGCTTGCGTTTGGGAACTTTCCAATCACGTGAAAGCAGATCGCGGTGAGCACGTGGACCTAAACCCCGCCTCCTGGGGGCCATGAACCCCTTAAAGGGCCGGGAGGTGCTGGCGACATGGGCAATGTGTGCCTGGCCCAACATGGAGGGGCTTTATGGGGGGGGCCCCCCCAGGGTCCCTAGAAGCTGCCACTTTATTGCTCTTTGTGAATGGGGCCCTAAAGGCGGCTCTTTCTTAAATGACCGAACACGACATAGCGGATGGTTTTGCGTAGAGCGGCCCTAGTCCTCGGGTCCCCCGCTATTGCCCCTGGCTCCTCCCACTCTTAACCAGTGACCCCCAATGGCAGGCTACTTGCTACGGGGACACTTATGTGTGCTCGCTCCCGTAATGCTCCATGTCGCAACACAAATACCCCCCCCCCCCCCCGCTGGCTATTGATTAGCCAGTTCCTGACGGCTACAGCGCGGTCGGCCAGTTCTTCTGGGGGGCATCCATGAACGTCCTCCCAGAACCGCGCACACGAGCTGATCACATGACTAAGGAACGAGCCAATCCGTTGCGTTTTTACCAGCTGTGCCCAATCACGGCTTATTACCGGGTAAATGGCGGTTATCGGAAGTTGTCGTCTTTTGCTGACAGCGTGAGAAGGGCCGGTATGCCGCATTTCACATGGGGTGTCTACGCTGGTCATCGGGTGTCCTGGTGATCAGTGTGGCCCCATCAGTGCGGCTCCTCATTAGTGCTAGCGGCCCATTAGCGGCCCCTCACTAGTGCTCCTTGGTGGTGCCCCCCCCCAGGCGGGTGGCTCCTTGGTGGTGCCCCCCCCAGGCGGGTGGCTCCTTGGTGGTGCCCCCCCCCCCCCCCCCCCCAGGCGGGTGGCTCCTCCTCCTTGGTGGTGCCCATCACTTTTTGTCTAGACACTATGAAATCTGCCCCCCACTTCTGTTCTTGGCACAGTGCCCCCCCCCGGGTGGCTAGGACTCCTAGCAGATGCTTGTGTGCCCCATTCACACCGCATTGCTGCCATGAGACCTATAAAGGAAGTGTAGCTTTGTACACACCACATACAGATGGGGGGGGGGGGGGAGGAGTGTGAACATGGTATGACCCATCACTAGCCGGCATGCCGAAGTGCAGTGCATTGAGCGGAATCTGCCCATAGAGGGGGTCGTATCGGATGCACACTGTGTGTTTTTAGTGTTCTCTAAATGCTTTGGCATCGCATCTCTTGTCAAGTTGGGCGGTGCAGCTCTTGGGGTGCATCGGGGTGGTGAACGAGCCATTACCTGGGAGGGTCCACCTGCAATGTGGTGGGGGTGGGATGGAAACTGGGGGTGTTAGTCTTGCCATGCGTGGTGCACCACCTGCCGCAGATGAAACCTCAGAGAGTTTGAAGTCCATCAAATGTCTTGTAATGGTTTTACCTTTGAGGGACGATGGCTGCCATTGGAAGGGGTGGGGGGGGGGTGAGATCTGCTGTAGAAGCTCTAATCTCATGTTTTCTGTCTGCAGGGGAGAACGAGGCCGCGGAGGACGAGGACGTTTTGGATCCAGAGTGGGACCCGGCACTGGGTAACTATCTCACCCTCAGTTCTATCCAGGAGAAAGGCCTTCGTATTGGCCGATCGGTCCTTCCTGTACACGGTCACCATCGGCTTTGGTTATGTGATGTAATTGGCCGTGCGCAGAAAGCAAAAATCGTTGGGGGCCTGGGCCCCTTGAGACGTTTGGTGCTGCCCCATGGAGGCCAGCTCAGCCCCCTCTGAGGCATTTGGTCCTTCCGCAGGGGGTCCTCCCTGAGATGTTTGGTCCTGCCCCATTGAACTTCACTCGTGGTTCTCTCTTGGGCCACTTGGCTTTTTGCTGTTGAAGTTGGCCACTTGGCCTTCAGATCTGTTCAGATGTCTCCATGTTGGCTGTAGCCCAAGGGTGTCAAACTGGTGGCCCTCCAGCTGTTGAAAATCTACGAGTCCCATCATGCCTCTGCCTTTTTGGGAGTAATGCTTGTAACTGTCAATCTTGCAATGCCTGGGAGTGGCCCAGTCTAATGATGTATCCAGTTGTCTGAAGTCAGAATGTAGTGTATGTGGTGGCCTGGATGGGAGGTCTAATGGACCGGTATGGTCCTGGGTTGTGGCCTTCGATGTGGGGTCTAATTAATGGCTATGGTCCTGGGTTGGTGGTCTTGGGTAGGTAGGATGGCTAATGGACGGCTATGGTCCTGGGTGGTGGGGGGGTGGCTTTGGGTGAGACGGCTATGCTATGGTCCCGGGGTCCTGGGTGGTGGGGGGCTTTGGGTGAGACGGCGATGGTCCTGGGTGGTGGGGTAGCTTTGGGTGAGACGGCTATGGTGGCCCGGGTGAGACGGCTATGGTCCTGGGTGGTGGGGTGGCTTTGGGTGTCCTGGGTGGTGGGGACGGCGATGGTCCTGGGTGGTGGGGTAGCTTTGGGTGAGACGGCTATGGTCCCGGGTGAGATGGGGTGGCTTTGGGTGAGACGGCGATGGTCCCGGGTGAGTGGGGTGGCTTTGGGTGAGGTGGCTATGGTCCCGGGTGGCTTTTTGGGTGAGGTGGCTATGGTCCCGGGTGGTGGGGTGGCTTTGGGTGCTATGGTCCCGGGTGGCGGCTATGGTCCCGGGTGGCTATGGTGGGGGTGGGGTGGCTTTTGGGTGCTATGGCTGGGTGGTGGGGTGGCTATGGTCCCGGGTGGTGTGGGTGGCTATTCCCGGGTGGTGAGTGTGGCTATGGTCCTGGGTGGTGGCTTTGGGTGGGAATCCTCAGTATGGCTCCTCCTACATGTGACATCTTGATGCCAATTTATCAATTCTGTAACCCTTTTTCCCGTCTCTCCAGGTTCAGGCCCTTCGTCCCGCACATTCCATTCGATTTCCATGTGGTGAGTATCTCTCCTCATCGTCTTTATCCAGATTCGGGGGTTCTTTCCTTCCTAAGCCCTTTTTCTTCTCCATCAGTGCGAAATGGCGTTCCCCCGCGTCAAGCCCGCCCCGGATGACGCCCTCTTCAGTGAAGCCTTGCTCAAACGAAACCAAGACCTCGCACCAACAGCTGCAGAGCAGGTAGATGTCCACTTGGACTTCATGGGGTTGGCTGTATGGAGTCTCTGATTTGTTCAGTTGTAACATGGGTGGGCAGGGTTCCTGGCGCTGGGGGTCACAAAGTGCCTAGAACTGTGGGCCAAGCTCTTCTGCACCTTCCAGTTCAGTGGAAATGCCAGTCTTCTGGTTTAGAGGGTTCATAGCTCCCGGTTGGTCTTGGGCCTGACTGACTTTCCTGGTTTGGCGTGATCTACAAAAACAAAAAATGGAGGTTTCGGCAAAGGGGTGTGATGGGGTGCTAGGACCGTATGATATTAAGGGAAACAAAGTCCTTTTATGGGCACCACCTTCTACGAGGTTCCTAGTTTTATGCAGGACACTGACCTGAAGCTGCTTCTTCTTCCAGGCCTCCATCCTTTCACTGGTAACAAAAATCAACAACGTCGTCGATAACCTGATTGTGGCCCCAGGAAACTTCGAAGTGGTAAGTTCCCAGTTTATTGGGTTGACTTCTGGATTTCTAGGAAAAAACTCCTACAAAAGCTTGAGGAGAGAGTGAGATCCTGGAATGAGACCTTGTCCACCGCCCAGGATTGTCCTGTACAGATGGGGAGGAGCCAAAAATGGCAGAAAACTGCATCCATGGCGCTCAATCTGTTCATACGATTGATTGGGAATATTTCATGTGGGAAATCCAACACTTGGTGACCCTAAAACCTCCAGTGCACATCGCAGGATTGAGATGGGGCTTAGGTGTTGGGGGAGGGGGACTGCTACAACCACTCTAACCTTCAGGAATGGCCATTTGAAGCCGGGTTCTCGGTATGTCTTACTGACTGGGCCCCTAGCTGACTCTAGTTGAGGAAAGTCTGAGCCAACTTTGAATGGTAGGGAAACTTGGGGTCCATCTTGGTTAAGGGAAGGTGAGGGAACTAATGGTGGTCTCCAGAACCCGGGGCTGGTGATGACATCTCGGGTTGCTGTGGTATAATTTCCTCTCCTCTTGCAGCAAATTGAAGAAGTGCGACAGGTCGGCTCATACAAGAAAGGAACAATGACCACCGTGCACAATGTGGCAGATCTGGTTGTCATCCTGAAGATCCTCCCCACATGTAAGTTTAAAACTTGTTACAGCCACTCTTCTCCTCCTGACCCCTCCACCCCCCCCCTGGGCACCTCCTCCTGACCCCTCCACCCCCCTGGGCACCTCCTCCTGACCCCTCCTCCTCCCCCCTGGGCTCCGATCTCTCTCCTCATGACCCTTTTCTTGCTTGTTACAGTGGAAGCCGTCGCAGCCCTCGGAATGAAAGTAGTTGAAACCCTCAGAACACAGGAGCCCTCTGAAGGTAAGGCGTGCCCCAGCTTTGTAAAATCTGAAATCGAAAAGTCTATTTGACCACAAGATGCCGGCACATAGCTGTGAGCTGGACTTCTAAACCAATAGGAGACTCTTAATCTGCCGTCCACTGGCCTGTGGTTTTTTGTTTGTGTTTTTTTTTTTTGGTCCTCCAATGCATGGTCCTTGTATCTCGTGTGATCCTCCAATGCATGGTCCTGTTCTTATATCTTCAGTGGTCCTCCAGATGCATGGGGCCCTTCCTCCTCGTAGCTTCAGAGGTCCTTCCGATGCATGGGGGCCCTCCCTCCCTCGTAGCTTCAGTGGTCCTCCCGATGCATGGGGCCCTCCCCTCCTTGTAGCTTCAGTGGTCCTTCCGATGCATGGGGCCCTTCCCTCCCTCGTAGCTTCAGTGGTCCTCCCGATGCATGGGGCCCTCCCTCCTTGTAGCTTCAGTAGGTCCTTCCGATGCATGGGGCCCTCCCTCCTCGTAGCTTCAGTGGTCCTCCCGATGCATGGGGCCCTCCCTCGTAGCTTCAGTGGTCCTTCCGATGCATGGGGCCCTTCCTCCTCGTAGCTTCAGTGGTCCTCCCGATGCATGGGGGCCCTCCCTCCCCGTAGCTTCAGTGGTCCTCCCGATGCATGGGGGCCCTCCCTCCCGTAGCTTCAGTGGTCCTCCCGATGCATGGGGGCCCTCCCTCCCCTCGTAGCTTCAGTGGTCCTCCCGATGCATGGGGGCCCTCCCTCCCCGTAGCTTCAGTGGTCCTCCCGATGCATGGGGGCCCTCCCTCCTCGTAGCTTCAGAGGTCCTTCCGATGCATGGGGGCCCTCCCTCCTCGTAGCTTCAGTGGTCCTCCCGATGCATGGGGGCCCCCCGTAGCCTCCCCGTAGCTTCCCCAGCTTCAGGTCCTCCCGATGCATGGGGGCCCTCCCTCCCCGTAGCTTCAGTGGTCCTCCCGATGCATGGGGGCCCTCCCTCCCCGTAGCTTCAGTGGTCCTCCCGATGCATGGGGGCCCTCCCTCCCCGTAGCTTCAGTGGTCCTCCCGATGCATGGGGGCCCTCCCTCCCCGTAGCTTCAGAGGTCCTCCCGATGCATGGGGGCCCTCCCTCCCCGTAGCTTCAGTGGTCCTCCCGATGCATGGGGGCCCTCCCTCCCCGTAGCTTCAGAGGTCCTCCCGATGCATGGGGGCCCTCCTCTCCCCGTAGCTTCTGGTCCTCTCCATGCATGGGGGTCCTCCCGTAGCTCAGTGGTCCTCCCGATGCATGGGGGCCCTCCCTCCCCGTAGCTTTCAGTGGTCCTCCCGATGCATGGGGGCCCTCCCTCCCCGTAGCTTCAGAGGTCCTCCCGATGCATGGGGGCCCTCCCTCCCCGTAGCTTCAGTGGTCCTCCCGATGCATGGGGGCCCTCCCTCCCCGTAGCTTCAGAGGTCCTCCCGATGCATGGGGGCCCTCCCTCCCCGTAGCTTCAGAGGTCCTCCCGATGCATGGGGGCCCTCCCTCCCGTAGCTTCAGTGGTCCTCCGATGCATGGGGGCCCTCCCTCCTCGTAGCTTCAGAGGTCCCGCCAGTGCGCACAGATTTGCTCAGTCTTGACTATTTTCTTCCAGTACTTTCTATGCTCACAAACGAAACCGGCTTTGAGATCAGCTCTGCTGATGCCACTGTGAAAATCCTCATCACCACCATCCCTCCAAACCTGAGGAAGCTGGATCCCGAGTTGCACTGTAAGTAAATAAGTCGTTGTCATCTTCTGCTCCTCCTTGTCCTCTTCTTCTGCTCCTCACTCTCTGCTCCCCCTTCTCAGTGGACATCAAGGTTCTACAGAGCGCCCTGGCAGCCGTCCGACACGCTCGTTGGTTTGAAGAGAACGCCTCCCACTCCACGTGAGTACAGCCTAGGGTTGGCGGGGAGGGGAACTGAAGATCTTGGGGGAACGATCACTTTTGCGAATGCACTTGGGTGGCTTTGCTCAGTTAATTTTCTAACTTTTTTGTGTATGAACATGAAAAGGTTTTAGGTTGTCGGTGTCACGAGGTGGAAGCATTTCCTGTTAGCCTCTTGTTTCTGTAATCGCTTACACCGCTCTCCTCTCCCCTCAGCGTGAAGGTTCTGATCCGATTGCTCAAGGATTTGCGGTCACGATTCTTGGGCTTTGAACCCCTCACCCCCTGGATTCTGGACCTTTTGGCTCATTACGCCGTCATGAACAACCCTTCCAGGCAGCCGCTGGCTCTCAATATTGCCTACAGGTAAGGACGAGGGGCAGGAGGGGACATTGTTGGTTTTAGGAAGAGAAGTTGGGGAGGGGACAGTGAGGGGGTGTTAGGAGCTGATAGGGGAATTTGGGGGGGGGGGGGTGTTAGGAGGAAGAGAAGCTGGTGAGGGGACATTGTCCGGGAGGGCGTATTGGGAAAAGCTGCTGAGGGGGACATTGTTAGGGAGTATGTATGTTGGGAGAAGCTGGTGGAAGGGGGACATTGTTGGGAGAAGCTGGAGGAAGGGGGACATTGTTGGGAGAAGCTGGTGGAAGGGGGACGTTGTTGGGAGAAGCTGGTGGAAGGGGGACGTTGTTGGGAGAAGCTGGTGGGAAGGGGGACGTTGTTGGGAGAAGCTGGTGGAAGGGGGACGTTGTTGGGAGAAGCTGGTGGGAAGGGGGACGTTGTTGGGAGAAGAAGCTGGTGGAAGGGGACGTTGTTGGGAGAAGCTGGGGGAAGGGGGACGTTGCTGGGAGAAGCTGGGGGAAGTTGGGCCGTTGCTGGGGGAAGCTGGCCGTTGCTGGGGGAAGCTGGCCGTTGCTGGGGGGGGGAAGCTGGCCGTTGCTGGGGGAAGCTGGCCGTTGCTGGGGGAAGCTGGCCGTTGCTGGGGGAAGCTGGCCGTTGCTGGGGGAAGCTGGCCGTTGCTGGGGGAAGCTGGCCGAAGGGGGACTTTGCTGGGCCAAGCTGGCGACCAGAGATGAGATGTGTCTTCCCTCCATAGGCGGTGCCTCCAGATCCTGGCTGCTGGCCTCTTCCTCCCCGGCTCTGTAGGGATTACCGATCCTTGTGAGAGTGGAAACTTCAGAGTTCACACCGTGATGACCCTGGAACAGCAGGTGAGGACCAAACGGCTGCTACTGAGGCTTTCCGTGAAGTATGAATTGTACCACCAGCCCTTCCCAGACATGTGCAGTAATTCCTGGTCTCTCCTCCCTCTTCCAGGACATGGTATGTTACACCGCTCAGACGTTGGTCCGCATCCTGTCTCACGGAGGATACCGCAAGATCCTTGGCCTGGAGGGTGACGCAGGTGGTAAGTGGAGGGAGTGCCGAAATCTGATCTTTCAATGGGGAAAATTGGTTTTTAGAGGTTGGCATTGCCCAGCAATTGGGATGCTGGGTTTTATTTAGTATGTGCTGGAGAAAGTCCTGTTACCAGGATTCATGAACTACTGCTGACTGTATGGGACTAGCACCTCCTACTAGGTTTTTATCCATACACAATGTGTGGTCACTGACAGGAAGTGACTGAATTTTCCCAACACCGGGGACAAGAAGGCAATAACTGGTCATTCTGACCCTCCCTTGCTCCTACTGTCCATACAGGATGGTAGCGTAGTGTGGACTCCCAGTGGTAATGCAGCAGCAGTTAATGCCTCTTAGTGGTGTGCTTGGTTGGGCTGGTGGGTGCCAACACAGTTGTGTAGAACAACCTTTGACCATGGAGCCACCACTGCATGGGGGCAAATATTGCTGTGGGGTTCAATTCTCATCACTTTTTTTTTCCTTTTTGTTGCAGCTCTGGCCACAGAAATGTCCACCTGGGATGGAGTTATCGTGACTCCATCAGAGAAGGCCTATGAGAGACCTCCGGAGAAGAAAGAGGGCGAGGAGGAGGAGACGACCCATGAGATCCCAGAGGGAACAGAGGAGGAGGAGAACATGGAGACACAGGAGTGATACAAAAGGTAGTCCTGTCTTAGGACAGCGGGCTGCACATGACCAGCGGGATCTAGTACAAGGGGGGAGATTTTCTACATAAAGGGTTAAATTGATGGTTTTAGGTTTGGAACATTATGGGTTTAGCACCTTGCCAGTCTTGTACCCCTTACTTTATAGACCCTTTAATAGTGAAGTAATGACAGTTCTCCCCTAAAAATGGCAGTTGTTTTTTTTTTAACCTTGTCTGCTCTCTGGACCAGTCTTAACCTTTTTTATTGTTTCATTTTTTCCTCCTGCAGATTGTGGTCCCTCCAAAGGCAGAAGATAAGGTCTATTCTTGGACCAAGGTCCCTCCCCCGCCATGTTCTTTGTTGTACCCCCCCCACTTGTGTTGTGAATTATTTTATACTGTAGACATTTTGTTTGTTGCAGACGACAATAAATTTTTATTTCCACCGTTCTTAACACATCTTGTGTAGAGTGATTTTGTACAACTCCTCATGTCTCGGTTCACGTTACTGCTACCTAGAAGTTGCGTGACTTGCGGTGCAACTTTGCTAGGCAACGCAAGTACTACTCTGAAGCAACTTTCAGGGAAGGCCTGGGTAATCTTCCTGTAATGTTGGATCCTAATGAAGTCTCCCTGTCGAAGTCTCCCTGTCGAAGTCTCCCTGTCGAAGTCTCCCTGTCGAAGTCTCCCTGTCGAAGTCTCCCTGTCGAAGTCTCCCTGTCGAAGTCTCCCTGTCGAAGTCTCCCTGTCGAAGTCTCCCTGTCGAAGTCTCCCTGTCGAAGTCTCCCTGTCGAAGTCTCCCTGTCGAAGTCTCCCTGTCGAAGTCTCCCTGTCGAAGTCTCCCTGTCGAAGTCTCCCTGTCGAAGTCTCCCTGTCGAAGTCTCCCTGTCGAAGTCTCCCTGTCGAAGTCTCCCTGTCGAAGTCTCCCTGTCGAAGTCTCCCTGTCGAAGTCTCCCTGTCGAAGTCTCCCTGTCGAAGTCTCCCTGTCGAAGTCTCCCTGTCGAAGTCTCCCTGTCGAAGTCTCCCTGTCGAAGTCTCCCTGTCGAAGTCTCCCTGTCGAAGTCTCCCTGTCGAAGTCTCCCTGTCGAAGTCTCCCTGTCGAAGTCTCCCTGTCGAAGTCTCCCTGTCGAAGTCTCCCTGTCGAAGTCTCCCTGTCGAAGTCTCCCTGTCGAAGTCTCCCTGTCGAAGTCTCCCTGTCGAAGTCTCCCTGTCGAAGTCTCCCTGTCGAAGTCTCCCTGTCGAAGTCTCCCTGTCGAAGTCTCCCTGTCGAAGTCTCCCTGTCGAAGTCTCCCTGTCGAAGTCTCCCTGTCGAAGTCTCCCTGTCGAAGTCTCCCTGTCGAAGTCTCCCTGTCGTTCTGGTAGCCGTAGTGTTAACTTTATCCATAATGTGCTAGTATGCATAGAATACTGACACAACATAGGACTTGGTTGGAAAGCCACCCCTGCAGTGTGCAGAGGTGCAGGTCTGGGTTCCAACTCTTCGTCCTCTTGATTGGTTGGCCATGATGTCACTCCTGTGCTTGTGAGTTGCATATTCACAACAGGCATGCTCTAATTTGTGTACACCAAGCCATGCATGCGTAGCTCAGTGCACATCAACGGAGGGGGGGAGGCAGGACTACCCGCTGCACTTTTTTTTTTTAAAAATACACCTCTGGTCCAAACACATACCCAGGATTTAGCTGAAGTCTTAGAGCTGTGGGTGCTTTCATGACCCATAGAACTCGGCTCGCTACAAGGCCTGCCCAGATAATGGCCAAAAGTCCACAAACACACAACTTCATACGGTGAGGACATTTTGTAGACATCCAAAACGATGACTTTAATATGAAGACCACGTACTCTTGTTGGGCTAGAACAGTCTCCATGTCTTTGGGATGTCCTCCACAAGAGTTGGGAGGCTCTGTGGGCATTTCTTATTTGGGAGGTCAGGTACGGATGTTGGATGAGACTTGCCTTACGTGTTGGGCACCAGAAAAATCTGGCTTACAATTGGTGTTCCGATTCACCCCCTGAGGGTGTTCAGTAGGGTTGAGGTCAGGGCTCTGTACAGAACACTCAAGGTCCCCTCCCAAATCAGACTGGTTATCCATGCCTTTATGGAGCTGGCTCTACTATTCTGGGAATGCTTCCCCCAATTTATGCTGGTTACTGAGGCCATGAACTGATATTGATGAAGACCTGGCTCACACATGGGGCCTCAAAAAAAAAAAAAAAAAAAAAAAAAAAAAAAAAAAAAAGTTAGCAAGTTCTAATTCACCCTGAAGGTCTGTAGTAGGGTTGAGGTCAGGGCTCTGTCCAGGACACGAGAGTTCCTTCACACAAAACTGGCCAAACCATGTCTTGTTGGGACATCCCACTCCCAAACCATGGCCAACAATATGGAATTGTCCTTTTTGTGGCATCTTCTACACTTGCCACAAGGTTTTAGAGGATGTCTGTGGGAATTTGTACTCGTTTGAGGTCAGATATTGATGTTGGATGGGAAGATCTGGCTCACCATCAGCTTTTTCAGTTCATTCCAAAGGTGTTCAGTAGGAGTGAGGTCCAGGCTTTGTGCAGGACACTCGAGTTCCTCCACACAACTGGCCAAACCCATGTCATGTATTGTTGGGACATCCCATTCCCAAACCGTGTCCATTAATATGGAGATGTCCTTTTTGTGGCATCTTCCACCCTTTTTTCAGGAAGGCTTTCCACAAGACTTTGGAGGATGTCTGTGGGAATTTGTGCTCATGTGTGAGGTCAGATATTGATGTTGGGAAGACCTGGCTCACCATCAGCTTTTTCAATTCATCCCAAAGGTGTTTAGTAGGGTTGAGGTCAGGGCTATGTGTCCAGGACCCTTGAGTTCCTCCACACCAAACTGGACAAACCCTGGCTTTGTACATGGGGACAGTCATGGTAGAATGGGAAAAGGCCTTCACCTAAAACGGTTTCCACAAGGTTGGAAGAGCATTGTGTAAAAGTCTCGTATTGATGGAAGATGCGTTTCTCCCCTCATGTACCCTTGTTGCAAAGAGTTGTCAGAAGCCCATGGGGGTCAATCTAATACCTCATAGGTTCTCCTAGAGGCCCGTGTGACCCAAGTACATGCGAGAAGGTAATCTCTGGTGTGTTAGACTCGGCAGAGCAGGACAATGCTGACCATGATCAAGAAGGCAACAGCAGCGCCTATGTTCTGGTGTTGGAAGAGCCTGACGGTAGTAAACAAGTCCTTCCACACGGAGAGGTCTGTGCCCGTATGTATCCAGCCGCATCCTTTACTGCTGAGTCTGTTTAGTGGATCAGCGGGAGAATTGGCTCCAATCACTTTAATTTTAGAGTAACGCGTGAACACGGTCTATGGTCACCATGGCAACCCTCATCCACCACCTGAAAATAGGGTACAACACTTAGACAAATTGTGCTCCTCAGGGACCCCATACTGGGGCCAGACATGATTTATGATGCTGCAACCCTTTAAAGGTGAGAATGGTTTGTAGTTCTGAGGCTGGTTGACTCTTGTAATGAAATTTTAATGAAACGCTGGAGGGTTTAGTCTTCAAACTGAGAGTATAACCTAAGCAAAGCATACGAAATGGAAGCTTCTGTTCATTGAAGACCAGATATTCATAGTAAGAGTACCTTTCTACCTCGAAGAAGACACATTGCAGGCGCCCTCGTCCCTTCACGTATTTTTTTGAGGCCAAGGCTCATCCTATAAGCCCTCCACTTCTTCTGGACTCGAGCATACCTGGCAGGTCTTCCAAGTTTGTAGAGAAGCCCACCTCACCATCTAAAGATGGGGTTGTCTTCTGGGTGTGGAACAACCAGAAGCCCACCTCCCCATGTAAAGATGGGGGGTTGTCTTCTGGGAGTGGAACTTCAGCTATCTCAAACCTAAGTCAAGTGGGGTTCAGAGTAGGTTTCCTCTGACCGGGGAACTCTCTCAGCCAAAGAAAAGCAATCAGAAATGTAACCTTTCGAGTCGAAAGGATTCAAACAGAAATTTCTGCTGCACAGAAAGTGTCAAGTGGAAGTCTCACGGAGTTGGTGGAATCCCAGCTGGCCTTGACGCCTTGCACAGAGGCAAGTAATATCAAGCAACCAATATGCAAAAAAAGCTGACAATGGAGCCTTGACCAAACTTGAGGCCAGTCCCAGATAAACTCCAGATTGGGAAAAAAAGTCTAGTTGAGACCCCCGACAAGCTTGCTGGGAGAAAATTCACACCGAACACAATTATTTCCAAGATCTGTGGCATATCTTCCTTGAAGGCACCTTCCAAGTCTTCTGTAGAGTGGGCTTCAGTCTCAAAGAACGCCGGCTGTAACAGCCACGGCATTAAACCAGCAACTAGAAAAAAGGAAGAGTGAACCTTACATCAGAAGGTCTGGATGATCCAGAAGATCCAAGGTTTGACCTCCAAGGATGGCCTAGTTCTCCTGTTTGGTTCAGAGTGATAGATCAGAGCATCATGAAAAACATTACCAAACATGATTAATTACATCTAGGTAACAAAAGTACCGACACTTGGGGGTCCCAGGACAATGACGCACCAACAATGACTGACACTTGGTCCCAGGACAATGATGTGCCAACAATGACTGACACTTGGGGGTTCCAGGACAATGATGTGCCAACAATGACTGACACTTGGGGGTTCCAGGACAATGACGCGCCAACAATAACTGACACTTGGGGGTTCCAGGACAATGACGCACCAACAATATCTGACACTTGGTGGTTCCAGGACAATGACGCACCAACAATATCTGACACTTGGTGGTTCCAGGACAATGACGCACCAACAATAACTGACACTTGGGGGTTCCAGGACAATGACACACCAACAATAACTGACACTTGGAGGTTCCAGGACAATGACGCACCAATGACTGACACTTGGTCCCAGGACAATGACGCACCAACAATAACTGACACTTGGGGGTCCCAGGACAATGACACGCCAACAATAACTGACACTTGGGGGTCCCAGGACAATGACGCACCAACAACTGACACT